CAGAGATCTTGCTCTTTTTCCCATAGCGCACAGCAGATACCTTCACCAATATCTGCAGTTTGAGGGATGTGGCTCTGCAGAGTAGCTGATTTGGACATGATCCCCTGGCCTTCTAGAGATCAAACAAAGTATGTGTGAGAACTCAGCAACCATCATGTCCTTTGCAAGCCCGAGGAGAGCAAAAATTGTCATATAGCTGTACAATAAGGAAGGAAGCACAGCAGCTGATATGAACTAAGATGACTTTAAGGCTTACCAGCAGGATAGCTGAAATGGATAATAACAGCATCACATTACCATTTAAGTAGAGACAAGGAGATTAGCAATCAGATCATGATTTAGTTAGCCTCAGCTGTGTCAAAGGGCACAGAAAGTTAAAAGCAGGGCAGGCAGGGCAAGTGAGTTTGGCCTGTGGAAAGGGGAGTAAACAGGATGTCTTTCAGGGAATGTGTAGAGAGTTGGTCACTAGATGACTGCTGTAAGAAGAGTTATCAGCTAAGAGCCATGTCTTCACCCTAGAAAGCTAGACTGGTAGATGCTGCAGATCAGGAACAATAGAACACATGCCTGTTCTATTATTGCTCTCTTCTGCCCTGTTGTTGTGTCCAGTGGGAATGCTTCCTGGGCATCATGATCTTCTTCTCTATCTTCTGGTAGCCCCACGTTTGAAGGATTTGTGCTCACTGCATCTGCATAAGAAGAGGATTCCATTGAGCTTTTCTCTAGCACTCCCCCAACCCTGAGCAGCTATGTAAGGGCAACCAGAACAGGATCTTCAAAGTAAGCATCCTAAAGTAACCAGTATTGCATATAAAATGAGGGTAAAAATATCCCTTTGCATATTGCATGGAAATCCTGATAGCATGGAGTCTGCACTGGGAATACATTCTGTGTGGAAATCTCTTGTGTTTAGCCTGTACTTTGGGATCAAGGCAGTTATAATTTCTTTCTTAAATCTATTCTGAAATACTTGATTTTGTGTTTAGGGAGACACTAAGTTGGTGCTGAGGTCTTGTCCACATTAGTTCAGTTCTATTTCTGCTGGGAAAGCTGCTCCTACAGCAAAATAGAAGAGTGTATGGAGCAGCCTGGGTGGGAGGAATAGGTTTATCATGAGTATTGCTCCTTTAAAAGCAAGGGAATCTGAGTTCCCCTTGCTAGACAAGAAGGAGGCTAGAGAAAGAAAATGCTTGTTTATTCTTCTATCTCGTATTGATTATAGCCTGGAGCAGTATTGAGGGAACTTCAGACAAATAAAAGTATCATATCAAGGTTGTGGGGTTTTAATCCCCTGCCCAGTGCTTCAATGAGCATGGGGAATATTGCCTGCTGTGGAGGGTTGTTCTCTTTCACTTTTAATTGCAAAACTGTGAGGAGTTCTCAATCTATTCCATTGCCTTTATGCCTTCTGTTCTGACTTACTGGAGTGTTCCACTGCCCTTATTTGACAAGGAGACCTACTGTTTTTGAGATTTTTCTATGAACAGATTTTTCAACATGATTGCTACAGCGTTAGGGATAGCTGTGATAAAATTGCTCTGTAAGTGGAAAGAAGTGATGTTAAAATATATGATATGACAAAAGTAGGGAGTCTTTTAAAAGTCATGTGCAGAGTTTTGACTCTAACGTAGCAGGAAAACTCCTGTCCTGTGATTATACACTTCCTTCTTCAGGTAACAACTCTGTAGTGAAGTTTGGGGAGAAAGATGAGTAAAACCTTGTTCCTTCTTAAAAGCTGCCTTCTTCTAACATTTTGTCTGTAGGCCTCCCAGCCATACTGCTTGCTGTAGAATAACATACTGCAATATCCCACTCTATGCTCAGACATGAGACAGGAGGTTCCCTGGTGGGAAGCAGCTACTCTTCCAGCTGTTGTTGCATAGCTGTTTATGTTCAAGCTGGTCCCTTTGCAGTCAGCGGGGAGATGCAGGTGGATTCAGGATCCTATGGACCTGGCCTGGCTGTTGATTTTTGGGATGCAAAGGGAGCCCAGTCCAGGTGTAGGCATGGCTGTACTAAATGGGACAAATCACCCATTGCCTAGATATCTCCCTAACCATCCTGGGCTGTGCTCTGTGTTAGAAAAGAGAACTTGATGCTGGCTGTGCATGTCTCTATGCTGCTTTTGTATTTAGTTTGGGTAGATACTCAAAGGTACAGCTGCTCACCAGCTCTTCTCTCCTGTTGAAGGAGACAAAAGGAAATGCAGAAACAGGTGAAGGAGAAGTCTGTATGTCTCCAAAGTGATTTCTGAACCTTTGGTGTCTGGAAAAGACATTTGGTTGGTGGTGCTGCAGGGCATTCTAAATGAGCCAGGGTAGCAGGGATGCTCCTGCAGAAAAGGTGTGAGTAGAGACAGGAACACTGCTGCTGTCAGACTGTGTTAGGGCCAGGAGGAACATGGTGGTTTTGAGTATAGCTTAGAGCTATACTCAAAACTGAGAGCTCTGCACTTCACTTGCTTGGAGTTTGAGTCTGGGCATGAGCCTCAAACTTCAGCAAAACCAGGTTAGGCCAAGAAAAAAAAGCACATGTAAGATTTCCACTCCAACCTAGTCAGGCATTGATTCAGAAAAGCCTAGGATTATGAAGAGGGAAGTCATTAAATCTTGGATTGGACCTGACTGTGTGCCTATGTTGGATCAGCAACACAAAGGGACCTTGGGTCTTTACACTGTGTTTTACTATGGTGACACTTAGACTTCTTGTGCATTGGTATTTGCATCTAACAAAGATGTAGGGGGACCTCAGGGGATCTCAGGTGCAATTTTGATAAACTTGGTAGGCTATTTAGTAAAAGTGGGAGAGGTTTTCATGTTGTTCCAAAATGATTTGCATGATCGAAGTATAGTTTGCACCCCAAAGAAGGAGGGAAGGACCTTCTATCCTTTAGCTAAATCAGAAATTTCCCAAGAAAAGGGACAAGGTTAGGATTGTTTTATATGTCCATTCCTCTTATCCTTGAGGGGCTTTAAGACAAGATCTCCTGCCCTTCTTCAGCACACAGAAAGCCTCAGGCTGCAGGAGCATCTAAATCTCTCCTGCTGGGAGCTCTTCCATTTTGTGCAAAGTACTTAAACATTAAAATTTAACCAGAAAGTAAAAAGGAGGCTAACACTCATTCAAAGGACTGAAAATGTAGGTGTCTCCTATCAGAGAGTGCCTATTGGTGCCTTCACTCTTGTGGTATTAGATAAAAGAGAGGAAGGGGACAGGCCTGAGGAGGGTGGTGCAGCCATCTGTACCTGAGAATACAGCTTTTCATTTCCTCTAGCTCTAATATGCTTGTTAGAAAAGTAAGTTAAATCAAGCTTCTGCATTCAACAAAATACAAATTCATTTTGTTAAGAAGAAAGCAAAACACTTAGCTCAAGCTAAGTCTCAATTTGAAATATATTGGCTTGAATAACATTAGCTTTTAGTAGGTGGCCAGTACAATTGTACTTATTTTACTGTCCCAGAATTGTCTTGCTGGGAGAAAGCCTGCCTGCAGTCTACAACATTCTCATTGCTATGAAATCACTGTTTTAAGGCAGTGTAGGAACCAGCTGATCCTGATTTATTCAGTGGGTTTTGTAGCTGTGAAATAACACCTGACTCTCCCCGAGCTGGTGGAGGGGTTGCTGAAGCTGAAATCCTTTGCACCTGCAGCCTGTCTGCATCCAAGGTTCCTGCCTGCTGCGGGGAGAGTGTTGCCTGTGCAGAAGCGCTGCCTGAGAGTGCTGGCCTCAAGTGGAAGTTGTGCAGCACAGTGCAAAATCGTTAGAGACAGGGGCTCCTAATGGAAACACTTAACACACAACGTGACCAGTTATGTAATGACCATGGCTTATTAAACAGCCTCACTAGAGGCATGAAAGACGGGAGGCTGACAGGATTTTGGTATGCTACACTGGATTTTTTCCTGTCCATTGAGCCAGCAATAACTGGGTCTTATTTATTTACTTTTGGTGCATGGTCACATAAAACTACTAACTCCCATCACATAAGGAAGATCTCTGCCATCCTGCTAGTGTGTCTGTTCACATGTAGCTAGCTAGCTTGCTTTCCAGAAGCAATGCCTGTGACAAACACTTGCATGATTAAAATATAATTTATTTTTGTAACGCAAAAAATGTATTTTTTTTTTTTTGTTTATTGCGCTGCAGACCCCTGTCACATGAAGTTCAAATTGTTTCTGCTTTTTTAGTGTTTTCCTTTTCCTCTTCAGCACAAGTATAAAATGTTGCAGAGGCAATAGGTAAGCCCCTAGCCAATCTGTTGCTGGCTCATGATGTGCAGGGGCTGGGAAAGGACCCTGCTAGAGGCAAAGAGTGATTCCCATCTACCAGAGTATGCAGTACATGTTTTAGGGGGGAGGAAGATGCAGATTTTAAAACAGAGGCGTTTTAAGGTGCCCATAAATGCTTCAGAGGTCATTTTTGGAGGTGTTTTGCATCTGTTCCTTTCAGGATTTTGCTCCTGAGTCCCACACAGTTGGACTCATGCAGCCTGATTAAGCACTTGGTTACTTTGATTTTATACCACTATAATACCAGTGATTTAAATAGATTTTCATTGGCATAAAACTGGAACTGCGCTATAGTGAATCAACCGCGCAGAAAACAAGGATCTTGGCTTCACAGGCAGAATAAGAAACAAAAGACAAATTCTTTGCAACACCGTTAGCAAACATTCTTCTGAATGAGTGGCATATTCAGAACACATAAACTGTCTAAAGACTTTCATTTGGTAGGTAACTTTCAGTGAAGCGATGTTCTATAAATATGTTTCTGTTGCACCAGCTATGCATTGCATTTTACCTGCTTATCTGATCTCAATTTTATTTGCCTGTACGTCTATGTGTAGATGAATATTTTACAACCACACTTGAAAGGAATCACAGAAAGCTGTCTTATCTGCCAAGCACTTCTACATTTACTCAGGGCTTAATGGGGGCCAAACAAACTGGGACTCTTGCTACTTGGTCTATCTAATAATTGTTGTTATTTTTTTTGCAGAACCCCAGCTGAAAGGAATTGTGACAAGGTTATTCAGACAGCAGGACTACTTCCTGCAGATGCACCCAGATGGTACAATTGATGGGACCAAGGACGAAAACAGTGACTACAGTAAGAAAAATTACCCTGTTTTGCAACCCTATTACAATCAAATGCATTGCCTAGCTTTAAAAGATGAAATTAGGAAGAAGCCAGCTGTTTTCTGCACATTTTTTCTGTCTATCCTTCCCCTTTAAATCTTGCCTGTATAATTTCATATGTTTCCTCTCCAATCTTCTTCCCTCCTGCCCCGATTCTGTAACTGCCATCTGGGTGGGGTGGAGAATAAAACCCATGATTTGAATTGCTTCCAGAAGAGAAAGGAGATTATATTTATACACATGCCACATGGGTAAAGGATACGGGGAATTCTCTCTCCAAGGAGAAGAGGAGAAAATTGTTTTCACTATTTTATCCTGAAAAATTCAGCAATCATCAGGAATTTCCAAGCTGGAGAAAACCAGCTGTTCACTAAAGTCTAGTGCTTTGAGGCTAATGTAAAGGTAGAGGGCATCAAATGACCTTTCCAAAGGAGGTCATCTTCCAAAATGCTGTTCAAAGGAATTGTGTTCATGCTGTCCAACAAAGGCAGCAGAGCCATGCAGGTTTAAAGATGATGCTCATGTGCAGGAGCCATATTGATTTAAAAAAATGCAAAGCAGCAGCCAATCAATCTTCTTTTTTCAAAAGTAGTTTTGTCAATACCAACACTCCTCAAAGTTTTAAAAAGGTGCAGGATATTTTCTACAGCTTCTTTTCATTTCATGGGCATCAGGTTGATGCTTCCAAGTGGACAGTAATAAGCTCTGATCACGCATCAACAGAGTAGGACTCAGGTCTTGATTTGTGTCATCCGATGTTGATTTGAAGCTCCCTGTGCCACTGCTGAAGGGGACATCATAGATAGGTTAGAAGGTAGACAGCATAGAAGGTATCTTCCCAGTCATTACTAGAGATGAACACAAGTTCATCTGTGTGGTAGGACTGATGGAAGCAAACTGCACGTACTTTGTGGAAGGAGGAACCTACTTGATTTGGAGGCATATCTTGTTCTAACTCAAAGAAGCTCTTAGTTGCATTGAAGGCATTATTCCTTCAGGAAGGCATCATCTGGGCTGCATGTGAGGGGTGTCTGAAATGATACAACACACATAGAGGACATTGACATTGTCCTGTGAAGCTGTACTTGGACAAAGGTGCAAATTGGCTGCATCCCCACATCCATGGTGTTTGCCCTGCCCCCAAGAAGCTGGCAGAGTGCTGTGGCAGGAGCACTGTGTGTGGTGTGGCTGCTATGCTGAAGCCAGCTCAGGGCTGGGGCCCATGCACTAGAGGAGCTTTGGGAAGATGGCAACTGAAACTGTGGGAGACTGGCAAAGCCCTTGCGAAATGACCTGAGAAGCTGCATTCACCTGAAACTTGGCCTGTGGCAGATGCAAGTGTCTGGTTTTAGTCCCCTGTTTCATATGCTGGTGTTGAACAAATGAAGTATTGCAAGTTGCAATGACACAGCTTCTAATTTGTGCTGCGGCAGGAGAATCTGTGGACCTCCACATGCACACTTTTACTCCATGAGAGACTGAGCAGGTAGGTCTATTCCTATAAGGAAAGTCTGGCCTTGTGATTTTCTCAGGCAGACACCAACACATGGTATGATTTCAGTGGGCTTTAGTGGGTGAGTAATGACCCAGTGTGGCTCATATTAGCTGCTTTTTCTTAAAGACGGTGTTCTCAAAATGCAGAAAATCCCATTGAGGCCTATTTGTCAATGACACAGGAAGAGCTGCTAGAGATGGCAGCAATTCATTACTCTCATCTATCAGTGAGGACTGAACAACAAAGTAATGGGCTTAAATTGAAGCTGGGATGAATTTAGGTAAACAGCAGAGGAATAAAATGTAAGAGCAGTTCTGCAATATTTCAGGCTGGCAGGGGGGATGAGGGAAACTGCCACTGGCTGCCCACGACTGAAGTTGGGTCCCAAAACAGCTCTCACCCATTAGAAATGTTAGAGATCACTTTGTCAAGGTGCTTAGTACTTGTAAGCCACTTCCATCCAGTCATCTTGGCTGGAAATAGAGGGGCTGAAGGGCACATCGAGAGTGCAAATTTATTTGGTGAGGTGGCAGCTCTGCCTTGGCAGCTTGGGTAGGACAGGAGGCATCTAACTGAAGTGTGCCAAGCCACTTGCTCAAAGTCATGGGCCATGTTGTAAATTTTAGTGAAGTTTTTGGAAGAAGATTGAAGACAAAGAATTCCCCATCCCCTGATCTCAGGGGATATCAAAAGAGGAAAATATCCAACCAGATAATATTTGGGTCCTGAAAATGAAATTAAGAATGTGCATTATTCAGTTTTGTTTAACTTCTTACCACACATTCTCCTTTACAAATCTTCAGTTTGAGTCCGGATTTTATATTATATGAAGCTTCCAGTTACAGCTTCAAAACAAAATCACATTTTTCACTTTGGAAATGCCAAAATAAACCATACTCACTATTTTTCCCCCTTTTCTATTCCTCCAAACATCTCAAATTTTGACCAGAAAATAGTCAAAACTCACTTGTTGAAGTGAACAGTTTACAGATTTACTTCACTGATATTTTCTGTTTTACAACACTCCTCCAGAAGATTCCTGATCAGCCAGTCTGAAGTCTGTGCAGTATTTCTGTGCAAGGGCAAAACTCATCAAAGAGTAGATAAGTATTTCCCTATCCCTGAGGAGAGTTGGTTAGCTCACATGCACTGGGAGAGAAGGGCAATCTGGATGGCTATATCAGGATAGTTCCCACCCTGAATGACCATTTATTCTCCATGCAGAAGCCATCTTAGCACAGATAAATAAACGGCGAGCACCATGTTCTATATACTACGTTCTGTTCTGTAGCCACACGCTGATTATTCAAATTAGCATTATGAAAGGAAGCTTAATTTTCGTGGAATACATTAGGTTGGTTTACTCTGGCAAAATCAACATTTAAAATGAGACACAACATGTCCCTCAGATACGTCTCATGCAATTAAAAGTTCTAATAAAATTCCAGGAGCTGCTAATATTTAAGCAATTTTTAAATTAATTATCTGGTGCCTATTTTATGTGTGTTCTTGAGAGGCTGATGGCATTTATTTTCCACCTCCTCTCACTTAAAGGAAAAAAAACCAACAACCCCAACAAAAAACCCAGAAGCCAAGTTCTAATGGCATTTGAATGGGCATCCAGCCAGCTTCCCGCGAAAGAAACGCTTGGGACATCTGTTCCTTATACCGTGCATTTAAAGGCAAGCCATCTTAATATAAGCAAGAAGACAGATTCTCTGCCTACTTGCATCGGGATATATGAATAATTTTCTTTTAATCAGAGCACAATTCCATGGTGTATGATGCTCTTGTTTGTGTTCTTATTAATGTTCTATATGAACTTGAATTTGGGGCAGTATCTTCTCCTTCCAACATTAGTGATCTCAAATGGTCTTTCAGGGCTGATTGTTGCTATGTTTGCATCACTATTGCTCTTTCCTGGGCTGAGCAGGGTAATGCACCTTCTTCATAAAAGCAACTGGGCTTTTTTGT